GATGAGTCGGATATCCTGTCAGTCTTTTCCAATTCTTGATTGGATTGATTCCTTCCCATAGAGGGTATAAAATACTTCCCCAAATCATTTAAAATCTAGCTTAAGCAAAACAACTGCAATAATCTAAAAAGCCATATTCCTGTGGATTTTTTAAAACCAGTAAAGTTGAGAATACATTCTGGTAATATGCCGTTGATGACACATACTGAATAGTGCCCTGGTTAGTCCCGGGTCACCTCTGTAGCTGCTCTTCTGATCACCATCATTCAAGTGAAACAACCATGGAGGGCTTCTTTTCTGAAAAGAGACTTCACTGTTGAAGGATCAGTGTAGTATTTGTATTTACTTTCTAAATCCTTTTTATTCACTTGTTTAGGAAGCATTCACTAAATACCCATTGTATTAGGCAAGGTGGGAAAAATGCCATAACAACCAACCACAAAATATCAGTGCCTTAAAACAACATAAGTTTGTTTTGTGATCATGTCATAGTGTAATGCAAGTCATGAGGAAAGCAGTGCTTCTTAGAGAAATTCAGTGACCCAGATTCCTTTTCTCTTGAGTTTTGCCCTCCTTGGGTCCTCAGTTTAGTCAATGGATGGGGACAGAGAGTGAGGATGGCATGAGAGTTCTTTATGAACTCCATATTTGAGAGGTCAAATATGGAAACATGATACACATCACTTAGGCTCATATTCCGTTAGCCTGAACTCAGGTAAATGGCCACATTTTGCAAGGGAGGCTAGAAAATGTAATCAAGCTGAAGATTAATGAAGAAATGAACACTAACAATTTCTGTCATACCTACTATGTGCCCTGCCCTCAAGGAGACAGATATGTCCTCCAATGAAGAGAATAAAGTATTGTAGATTCCATAAGAGAATAAGAGAAAAGATGGAGCAATCATATCCACTCAGGGAAGGCTTCATAGAAGAGGGTGATATTTGAACTAAAACTTTCTGGTTAGATTTTCCCAGCAAGAAGGAGAGGCACCCTAGTAAGAAAAAAAGCATGGCGATACCAACACAAGACAGTGTGGCCCAGCAAGGCCACATTATAGATCCTTGGAGTAAGGAAGGAGTAGTGAATAATGAGACTAGAGAGTTACTTTGGGATCAGACTGTGAAGGGCTTTAGAGGGCATGCTAAGGACTTTGGATGGTGTGCACGCATGCACATGTTTGTGTGTGTGTATGAAACCAGGGATCCTCAGAGATGTTTTTAACAGAGAGTAACATTATATTTGTGTTTTAGAAAGATACGTTCATTCATTTAACAATCATTGAGAAGCTCTGTGTCCTAGGTACTGTGCTTACTTTTTGGGGATACAAAATAATGAATACATTCCTTGCTCTGATGGTTATAAGGAGGGTTCATTGGAGAGAATAGGATTAGAAATATAGAGATCAAACAGGAGCTCCTTTCTTGTTCAAAGTGAAAAGAGATGAGGTCCTGAATGTGAGTATTGGCAGTGAAAATGGAAAGGAGTGAATAAACTCTAGAAATAATCTGTGGAGGAGTATCTAATGGAACTGCTAGTCAAATCAGATGTACTGCATGAGGATAAAAGTTGAAAGAAAATCTCACAAAGGTTTTCAACCTGATAGATGAGGTGGCTGGTGAAAATAAGAAATACTAAGGGAAGAGGATCAGGTTTGAGAGAAAGAATGTAAGTTCAACTGTGGACACGATTTTGAAATATTTATACAGTGTTATCCAGGAAGTAATTGGAAAAACACTTATGATCAGGAGAGGTGCCTTAGATAGGTAGTACTATGATAGACATATGGGTTACAATTTAGACCAATTTTGCCCAGGAATAGAACTCCAAGAAGTAAAAGGTAGGTAAAAGAGATAGCAGCCAAAAAAGTTTGACAAATAATTGTGAAAATTAGGAGAACATTTTGAGAAAGATGTAGGTGGTTAACTGTTCAGAAAATGGAGATACTATAACAGGATAAAAGTGAGATAACCACTAGATTTGGCTATTATTACAGTGTTTTAGGGACCATTGCTAATGCTGGGGAGCAAAAGCTGGTAGGAACAAGAGAAGGCAGTAGCTTGGTTGAAAAAAAGAGTAAATATTGTACAGGATTTGTGAGACTTGATTGTATTTATAGTCTGAGGATAAAGGAGAGTTTGAACCTTAAGCAGAAAGAATCCGGAAGAATATGGAAAGGAATGTGTTCTGAAGCACAAGTGGATGGGTTTACTTTCTGAAAAAAAGGCAAAAAAGAAGTAAAAATTGATGAACATAAAAGTTTTGGAGGCAAATGGGAGTGAGGCTTAGAAAATATAAGGGAGTCAGGGAAGCTGGTGTTGAGGTTATTTACATTTGTAGTGGAGAGAGCATAGAAAGTTGTAGGAAATGAAAATGGACATCAACTGTAGGTGCTGAGGAGGAGCAACATGGAAGGATACATGTTAATTTCTAAATCATTGGTTTTTGGTGGAGCCCATGGCATTTATACACTGTTTTGTAGGGAGCCTCTGCCGCAAAAAATAGAAAAAGTGGTCAGACGTGTTGGTAATAGCTTGGCAAAACAATAAAGAATTAGGGAAATGAGGGTATTTATAAACGTGGAATTGAAATCGTTGTCTTGGGGTCCAGATTGGGTAGTGAAGGAAGCAAAGACCAGAAGGTACTTTTTGCCTGGGAGAGTTTAGAAGAACCAGCAGATTGGATGTTGTATACAAGACTGGTAGAAGATATAAGTACTTTTGGAAAATGATGTACTTTATAGTAGATCCTGCTGTGCAGTCCAGTGAGGATCGTGAATCCTAAGAAAAGATCTTACCACTTGCTAGTTGTGCTCTTTGGTGTCAAATTTCATGGCACATCTAGTAAGATTTAGTATTCCCATCCGTAAAGAGGGATTGCCACTCTAATCATGTATGAATGCCCATGAGTTTTTTCTTCATTTTCATTTAAATCATAATATCAAAAAGCAGTCAGAAAGAACATTTCTTTCAGATTTCCTTAATAATCAGAGGGGTTTATCTTAATGATTCAGTTTAAATAAATGTTAATAAATGTTCTCTTCAAGTGAACAGATTCAACTGTACTGAGATTCTTTGTGGAGGACATGTTGATTATTGATAAAATTTTCAAATGTGTACTTATAAGGCTAATTATTATCTGTGCTATTTCAACATAATTCAAAGATTTTTTATTTATACACATGCACACATACACACACACCCCCATATACTAGGGAATCTTGATTGACAGCATGAAGCTCAATTACATGAAAATTTAACCACAGCACCAGAGCCATTTGCAGTTTTTTAAAAAAATAAATAAAACAATATTCCAATGAATTGTCCATGTATAGCAACAAATCAGTAAGAAAGGACAAACCAACATAGTGAAATAGATAAATCAGATTTAGGCAGTCTAGTTTATTGAATTTAAATTGTGCCCAGTTGGCCCAAGAGCTATATATAAGCAATCCATCTTACGTTGTTAATGGAGGTTCTTGAAATCCACCTGATGTTTGCATTATTAAATTTCACTCTAATGAGCTCTGCTAATACATATTGAAGATGGTTGTAAGGAGTAGAATGTGAATCCGAGTGGGATAATTTGAAAGAAACATAAGCTGAGCATTTTACATGACTCAAGGGGTATATCTACAATTACACATATAACCAAAATTGAATTTAAATGGAATTTCTATTATCCTTGTCCTTCTACCAGGGAGAATAAAGTGTAAATGAAGTAAAAGTCTTTAGAGTTACTGGTGGTTTGTTTTTATTATCTAATTTAATAGATTCTTGCAATGATACAGAGTGGCATAAAAGTTTTAATATTTCATGACTTTAAATGCAGTCTGAGTATGTATAAAAGCTTGTAAATGGAAACAGATGTCTGTGTAATTGGATATAGCACTTCATAACACCCTTACATAAGTTTTATACTTTAAGAAAGTGTAATATTGACGGTGAAAAAAAGAATCAAACCTTGAAGAAAAGTAGTTCTGTATGTGGCATGTATTTTCTTTAAATTCCCCTTTTAAGCTACTTTTTATAATTCTAAAGTGTGTGTTGATTTTGCATAGGAAAAATATATGCAGCAAAAACTGAAAAGTAAATATATTTATTTTTTAAATCACAGTTTGCATTGCTGTTATTACAATAAAGGCTCATCCAAAGTTTAATGCTGGCACAGTTTGATTCTTTTTCTTTTGACGAGGCAATACTTTTTTTAACTTAATATTTCATCAACTATAATGCTATTAGAGACTTATTTTCACTTAGTTCACTCATCAGGCAGTGAGACAGCAATAAAGGAGAATCGTTCCTTTGAGACATTAATGCTTTGGAATAAATGATGTGCTAGAACAGAAATTTAATTAATTTACAGAGTATATTGATAGTCCCTTGTTACTGTGCTGTATATTTTTAATCTTCTTTAACATCTGTAGTAAAGTGTTTGAAAACCCCTGCAGTTGAGCAACTAGTAGATAATTAAGTAATAAGGGAAGGGGTTTCTAGAGGGAAAAATATTCTTTTTACCAAACACTGTCATAACATGGATAAAGAACCACTACTATGATGGGGAATGAAAAAAATAATGTTACCTAATTTTGATACTGCTCTATAGATATTGTAAGCTTCTTGTATTTAAAATGTGAATTGTAGCTTAAGAACTTTCCTCCAAAGTTTAAAACAAATGCATTGTACTGACAAATCAGATGACTTATAATGACCAACAACTTTTCCCAACTCATATGCCATCATTTAAACTTATTTGCTTAAATTCATTTTGTTTTTTGTGCAGAGATTATCTTGAACTAATCTTCAAAGATTCTAAATAAATATCCTGAATATTCTGAATAAAAAATGTAAAATATGTATTTCAGATTTTCAGCTGTCTTGTTTCTCTCTTCTGACTACTTCACAGAGGGTTAGTAGTGAATTTCTATTCCCTTTCCTTAATATTTTCACTTATGATATGATCATAAAATAAATGCAGAAATTTTATTGTTTTTGTTTCAGCAAAAGCTGATGAAGCATTGAAAGCCAAAGAAAGAAATGAGGAAGAAGCAAAGAGAAGAAAGGAAGAAGGTAAAGGCATGTGTACCTTTTTTTCCAAGGAGTGTCTGTTTGGCACAATTCTCCGTATTCCCTGGATAGACCTTAGGAAATAATCTGATGCCCTAGGGTAACTCTTGTTACTTCGTGAACCTAAACTATAACAAAATATCACAATATATTCATTGTCTTGAATACTAATGTTTGCTAGCATAGATTAGTTTATAAGCATCCTATTATATATTCTGGTAAATTGGGAGGATATAAAATTATATAGTAGAGCTGATGTTGGTTTGTTTCCTTCTGATTTTTATCTTTACATGTAACAAATTATCAAAACCAATCACAGAAATGAATTGAACTTACATAGAGATTTTGAAATGTTTTAACAGTGGTAAAGAAAAGTCCTCTTACCAACAGAACTTTTTAAAAAGCTATTAGGAGAGAATAGTAAAATCTGAGATGTCAAAAATAGTCATAACTCAAATTAAGAAATTTGTGTCTTAATTTTTATGGATTAAATATTATTTTCCCTTAGTAACATTTAGGCCAAAAATATTATTAAAAAAAAATCTCACACATTTTTATCTCCTCTAACAAATTTTATTTCCCCTTTAGTTTGCTATCTGTGATTGATGTGAGTGAAAATTTTGGTTTTTTTCCTTCACAGAGTCGTTTTATATACTGTTGTAAATTACAGTGCTGATAGCAAGGCATAGGCGAGTCTTTCTCAGTGAGTTAAGCTGATGAACCGTTTGGACTGGTAATCATGTCAGTTTACTGGCTAATTCAGGAGTGAAACTATTTTCTCTTATGAGCTTTTGAGAAGTTGAAGCCAAAATTTTGACTTTGAATGCTATAGTCTACACCTGAAAGTTGAAAATTTTTACCTGGTATATACATATCTTTCATACATATCTTTTACCATGACAGCCAGAAACATTTGCAGTCCCATCCTCCAACTGGCAGCTGAGACCCAGTAGAACCTAAAATGTCTGAGTATGATTGTTTAGAATGCTTAAAAGCAGCATTCCATCAGAGCCAATCTCCGAAACCAATCCAAGAAAAACTTCTGTAGATTTAGGTGGCAGAACCCTGCAAATAAAATAGATCCAAATAGATGTGGATGAATGTATGCATATAAGTGTATAGGGTTCTTATCTTATTTGATCCCCAGAAATCCTGACTTTATGCTCTTGTCCAAGATCAACTAATTTTATGGTATATTGAGAAAACAAATGAATTCTACTGGCAAGAATCCTCAGTAGAATTCTCTTCTCCTGGCTTGCTGAAATGCACATCTTGGCATTGTTAGTGAAAGCAATTTATCTGATTTTAGTTATGTTTATGGTATGTCCATAATACAAATAGATACAATACTAGATGCAAAGCAGTCTGAGCAAATTATAATATTTAAGTACTGCTATGTTGTGTGGCATTCTGATCAATGTAATTAATTAATAACATAATGGCCCTCATAAAACATTGTGTTATTATAAATCACGAGTGCGATAGTTATCACCAACCAACACAGTGAAAATATGTTGCAGCAGTTATTAGCCTAATCCCATTAATTCAGATCTTAATTGGAGTCATAATCAGTTGAAAAAGAATGGCACTGATAGTAACCATAGATACTGAAACTGCTAGAAAAAAAAATATATGAGTGCTTATCCTAGTGAAAGAAACTTTTAAATACTTCAGAACCCCTTGTTTACATGTTGACGAGTGATATTGCTAATAGTCTTTTTGTATTAAGTAACTTCTAAACATCTTTAAAAAAATACTTTTTAAAGAATTTCTTTTCTTTCTTTTTTTTTTTTTTTTTTTTTTTTTTTTTTTTTTTTTATGAAAACAAAGAAACAAGACAGACTCTGAGATTGGATTTTTGTGTGTGTGTGTCCTTTTTGAGACCGGCCGCACCGCGCTCAGCCAGTGAGCGCTCAGCCAGTGAGCGCTGTGAGCACACCAGTCATCCCTATATAGGATCCAAACCTGTGGCGGGAGTGCTGCTGCGCTCCCAGCACCGCACTCTCCCGAGTGCGCCACAGGCTCGGCCCTAAAGAATTTCTTAATTAACTACAGATACTTGAACATTATATTGTAATTCTTTCTAAGGTTTTCTTTAATTCAGACTTTTCACTACATCAAACTTACCTCATTCTTAGTCTGTGATATATAGTACCTTTTTCATTTCAATACCTGAGAATTGTTGAAAAAGCACACCCCTCCAAACATACCTGTTTTAATTAGCATTTTTACAAGTCTCTCATCCTAACTAGAGTATAAACTCCAGGAGTGTAGAGGACTTAGTATCCACAATGCCTAACACATAGTAAAAATTCCATTTCTTGAATTATTGCATGAACAAATGAGTAAATTAATGACCACTTTTCCTTCATTCTTTTAAATCCATGCTTCAGTAGCTCATCTTGTCCTTGCAGTGGATTCCAGATTATCTCATTGAAAGTGTAACCCAACTTTGTTATGCCCCTTTTCTAAGGCAGACCTCACTCATTAAGCTATTGCTCTAATGAATTACAATAATGCAAAAATGAAACCAAGGAATGTTAAAATACTATCAAGAGTTGCTAATATGATTTTCCTTTGTTTGAACTCACTGAATTTTCTGTGCATCCAAAAAACATAAGAAAATTTTACCACAAGTGTTGAAGAAAAATTCTACTGGTAAAATGATCTATATGACACTAATTTTAAAAGATGTATTTTTCATTCAATAAGTTTTCTTTGATTAGTTTTTGTAGGTAAAAGCAAATCACTAGCCAGATTCTTTGTTGTTTGCTCCCAAAATTTTTTTCTGGTGGGTTGTCTAGATACTTGAATGCTATCAAATTAACCTTTTGCTGAAAATGATTAATGTATAAGCTACATTTATTTTATTTCATATAATTAGCCTAATTGCAAATTGAAACCTGAGATACATCAGTATGTGTGTGTGTATGTACTTCTGTATCTGCACAAATAATAACCTTTTATTTCCAATCTATATGCCACTAGTAATTCACTCTGTCACATTATTTGTGTAATTCATCTCTTAATTTCTCAGCATGCTGATATGCAGCACAGGGTTGAAAGCATTGTGAAAATGAAGATAAATGTCTACCCAGCTCCCTTCATCCACTCTCTGTTATCTCAGAAAAGCTATTGTATTAGCATAGCAAGATCTGTGCCTTGCAAATTCATTGTATTATGCAATCCTTTCCTTTGAGTGTTCTTAAATCAGTGTCATAATTATGTTTGCAAGTATTGTATCCAAGATAAAAGTCAGGCTACACACCAAAACTTGTCCAAGGTAACTACATTACCTTCTACCCTTCAAATAATAGTGCCCTGTTTAGAGTGCTTTTCATGATCCTTATATAGCTCAGTTGATTTTCCACTTATTGAATATCACTAGTGCATTGGTGACGGGCCCTTTTTCTTGAGCCATTTGCTAACCTACTCCACTTTAGTTGAGTTATATAAAGGTTACATCTTTTAGTAAAAGTCAACTGGATACTTAAAGTTTAGGTCTAAAATTTCCTTCTTTAAAACTAAATACTTTTATTTTCTAATTCTAGATGATATTTTATGAACAATGAAAAGAGTATTAAATCTTTCAGTTCTATTTTCTTTCATATTATTTGACCTGATGAATACTTGACTTTGGCTTTGTTTTTTTCTCTGTGTTTGAAAATGTTCTAACTATTCTTTTAAAATATATAATTAAAAGTCATTTCAACTTCTATCCTTCCTTTGATCTCTTTCTCTATTAATGCTTTAGCATAACTGCTTTGGTTTTCTGTGTTATCATTATATTTAATTTAATATGCATTTAAGGGTGCCAATTATGTTTTAAATCTATTTATAAGACTAATAGTCTTCCTTTGTATCTGACTTCTGTTTAATATGAATTTCTTATTTGTGGTATAAGTATAGTAGCTTTTCAATTTTTTTCCCCTTGTGTTTATTCGAAATAGCTCTACCCATCTGTTAGGTTTTTTACTTCAAGTATTTTTGTTTCCTAAAATGTTGGGAAGGTCATTCTAAATTATAAAAAGAAATGATGGACAGTGAAAATATGAACATAATATGAAGCAGTTCAGGTGAAGCCTTAGAGCAGTCCTCAAGTCTTATTTAAATTCAAATTCATCAAATATTTTGCTGTAGCTAATTGACAAGAGTGAGTGGTGAAGCCAGGATATGAACCCAGGCTGTCTGACTCCTATACACATTTCCCCTCTTTCAACAGCCTGCATAAATCATGACTCTTATAATCAGTGTTCAAAAATATTATGACTTAATTCTATCTCCCTCTGTCCTTTGCTTTCCTCTCTGGATCCTGCCCTATGGCTCCTAAGCATTTGTTTACTGTAAAGTTTTCTTGTCCTCATTTAGATTTGTGCCCATATTAAGTTGCCTCACTTGAGTTTCTGAGATACCCAACAGGTGAGGTACCCCATTCAGAGGCACATTTTGTCAGATTGTCCATGTCTTTTTCCCATAATCGCTGTCTGCTTTTTTCCCTATGGACTGGCTGGTCTATGTGAGATATTCACAATGTCCCCTCCACATCCACCCTTCAGAACTTGGGCCAGAGCCAGATCTAAACATCAAGTTTCTCAGGTTCCTTTCTCTCAGGTTCTGCCCATTTCAGTGCTTTGTGGTTCTTAGCATAAATCACACTTAGAACCAAGTCTTACCACACTCAGAGAGAGAACTATTGTAATCCCTTCTTTTTCTCCACTGTGGTTTGTTGCCTAAGACCTAAAGAAGGAGATGAATGGGGTTCTGAAATATCCTTTGTTCCTCCTGGAGACCCTTTATAAGAAGGTTTGAGTGAAGTTAACAGGTACACAGGTATCATTTGGGAGTCACTGTTTATTCAGTTGGTATGTTGATCTTAGTAGGTTAGACAGAAGTAACAGGATTATCCTTTCTACCACTTGTCCTGAATTGGCTACCCATTGTAATGTGTAATATTATTTCCTTCTTAGATTTAAATTTGAAAATCCACCCCCCCCCCTTGTCTTACTTTATTAGGTGTTTCCATTACAAGATTTAAAATATCCCTTTAGGAAATTTGTTTCCTATGTATGCGTTTCATATTTCTGCA